ATCACTATCTTTCTACTACATCATCATGTTTATTACTAATTCATATGTTCTCGTGGAACTACTACTTTAACAATAAACTAACTCTGTGTATTAATCATATACCACAAAAGTTATTCAATCTGGTTGCAATTTGTCATTTAACAGTAAAATATCAAATACTCAACATTATGGAATATGAATTTTATGCATTGATTTAATTTCATAACACGAATACTCTGGTCCACAAATTATAAACAGTTGTCATTACGTTCGCTTGTAGAATTACTTTCCAAACCCTAATGATAATTTCGTATCGAAATACTAATCTCGATTGTTTATAAACCGACGTCTATTCAATTATACAAGTTAATATTTATGTATAGATTTGATAAGCTTAACAATATATACGTATATCCCTAAAATATTTAGCTTTTATTGTTTCTGTACACATCATTCGTCATAACTTCGTTTTTTTAATACTAACATGTTTAAGTATACAGTTATGTCTCTACACCCACAGCAATTACTGAGGCAACTACTATTCGCTTTAGAATTAGGACTATAAACAAGTACACTATACTTGTAATCTAGTTTACATTTATTAGGCTGATAATTATCTTCCGAATTATCATGTAATATTAGGTGTCCTTTTTCTATAAATCGAAAGCATTTTCATTCGTTATTATTTTATGTGAATTAAAATTACTTTTGTATTGTTTGGACAAATCTATCAATGAAAAGTTTCTTTTAAACAAACTCCAATATTAATAATAAAATGAATAAATCTGTAATGTCCCATTGACTAGGGAAATTAAATTTTCAATCATTTTTTGACTCAGTATAACTTACATCTTCAAAAAAAACTAAGTATATAAATCCAGGTTTCAATTATGCAGAAAAATGACACAAAAATATTTAGTACAATCAGTCGAAAATAGGTTCGACCGAGTCAACGTCAAATCACTTTAGTCGATGAGATTTTCATGTGATATGATTGTATATGTGTGTTAATGTTAATGGGTGTGAAAAATTTAACATTTGTAATGTGAATGGTTGAGTTGAATTTGTATGTGCACTAACGTTATGAGATGTAGCTAGGATGAATCAGCCAACTTAAATAGATGGTAAAAACTTCTTTCCGATTGAAAGCAGTAAGATTTAGTAATATATGGAAAGGTTCAGCTACTCGTCTTTCTTTGTGGTTGGAGAAGCCTTTTTGTATTATTATGATATTTTTAATAACAACCTGATGGTTATTGAAGATGGCATACACTGCTATTTTTGATTTACTTTGGATATTTTTAAGTTCTAAAAAAGTATTAGGTGGTTTTTAATGTAGCTTATATGTTCAATGGCTGAAGTCAAGATTTCACGAGATGACCCTCCAATTTAGAAGGCATCAAAATCGATAGACCGTAATCTGTAGACACAGTTCTGTATTAACATTAATAGGATCTCCTCGTTTATGCGGACTAAAACATTTCGAAGGGTATTGGTTGCTTTGTAGTACGCTTTAATTCTGAATCGTTTTAAGATCGTCTAGAGCTCCTTTGCTGTATCATGGGGGTAGGTTAGAACCATGGTACCAATCGATGGTATTTCCTTCGAGCAACTACTTAATAATAAATCGTCTCATTTTAGCAAATTTTTAATAACAATCACAAAAAAATTATTAGACTGTAAGATTTTCATTATTTTTTTCTGCTCCTCTTGGATATCCTCTTCATTTGTATGAATATTGATCGTTCATCCAGAAACTTTTGAGTTAAGAGTTTTTACACTGACTGGATATGCTGAACTGAAATCAGTATGACGATTGGAATCTGTTGATTTACAATAGATGGTTAGGTTCAGAATCTTACTTAGAAATGACAGCCAACAGTGCTCATTCTCATAAGTGGATTTAGTGAGGATGAGAGTGTATTAATCAGCTTACAAAAGATCATAGGAACGTCTTTCCTATGATGACAAAAGTATCCTCCACATATCTATTGCAAATTTGTAATTCAATATCATTGGTGAAAATACTTGATTCTATATGAAACGCGAATAATTTAGCTACAGTTGAGAACATTAAGGATCTCATTGTCACTCCCTTTGTTTGTTCAAATGGTGTCCGATCAAAGGTAAATGAGATTGAGTTTTGGCAGTTTTAGGGATTTTATGACTAAAATAATGCCTGAAGGACATCTGTCAGAAAAAGTATAATCATTCTTTACTAAACTACCAATAAATTATAGGCATTTATCAATTAGAATACTGGTAAATTTATACCAAATACCATAGCTTATCATAGTTTCATTCTTTTAGATAATTAATTCCTGTTTCACACTTAAATTCATAAGAATATTTCATTAAATTATGTAACTTGTATTGAAGTGGCCTCGATTCGCTATTTAAATTTTTATATAATGCATATGAAGGGCTGTTTGTAAAGTTTTCTATAGATCTTAGTGGGATATCTGGCTTAAACATTTTGGGTAGACCATAAAAGCGTGATATAGTGCATGATTTGGGACATCAAGTAAACCATAAGGCGACACTAATAGAAAGCTTTAGTTTATTTTTCGAAAGTTAGTTTATCCCCAGTTGAACTAAATTACTAAAAATGTGATAACTTTTAATGTCAACCTTTTGTTGAGATCCTATGGACAGGTGTTCAAAGCTTTTCCACAATAATCCCTTTTATTCATGACTACTGTTGTATTCCTTTTTTCAGCTTTAGCACTAATAATGATTTTTATAGTGGATAAAGAGCTCTCGGTTCCTCTTGTGAAATTTTAAGTAGGAAGAGTTTTCGTTTTGTAAAAATATGTAATGTTTCTTGAAGCTGTGGATGAAAGTTATTTCCTAGAAGTTTTTCGATTAGTTAATCTACAACTGGGCCAATTTCTAGAGTGCTAAGTGGTTTTCTCAGTAAATAGAAATTCAATTTCTTTGCACTATTTAGAATTGAGTTAATTTAATTTGTATACGATTTTATTTTTTGAAGAGGTGGCTTACCATGAGTCAGGAAATATCAGGAAATTTAGTTTCGCTGCTCATTGAGATATTACAAACATATTAATTTCCTTATCAATAATTTCTCCAGTAATCAATTTATTTTAAGTTATCAAGTCAAATTTTGGTAATAATACCAAACATTCCACCATTGTCTTTTGAACCAGTAGTATTCGTGTTAGTATTAGCAAAGCTATAAATATGATAAGACGATAATAATGCTAATAATAATTAATATACCCCTAGTTTGTGAGCCTGTTTAGAAGGCCTGGAATTCCGATCACATCCCCCTCATTCTACCAGATTTTAAACTGGAGATCCAGTGATCTGTAAAAATGAGAGCCGATTAACGATTAGTTTATCGTTTTACCACTCATTTACTATCATCTCAAAATCTCAACTAATGCTTATTTAAACTAAATATACAAACGACGTTTCTGAGCTTTTACAAATGAAGATTAACTAGGAATGATATTCGAAAGGAAGTAATACGTTTCCTCGAAACAATTCTTGCTCAATGATTGGATCATCAAATAAATGAGTTTAGTATTATTTGCCTTTCAGGCTCATTCGTTCAGGTATAACTATGTTCCTAATATTTAGTTTCAACCACATTTAGTAGTGTTATGTCAACTCTTTTACTCTTCTACCTCTTAATTTGCTTTATCACTGTACTGATGTAGGATATATCAACTTGGACCAGTGAAAGATTACATCACATTTTAAATGATTCATAGTTGACTGAATGTTGATTGTTTCATGTGGTTTATTATTTTGTCAGAGGTGTTACTGACATGCAATACATTTACGGTTAACTGTTTTCTTTACATAGAGAATCTTTTACAAACTGGATGACTGTTTGTAGACACTCTACTAATAAAAAAATCCTAGTTTATATAATTATGATGAAAAAGTATATTTATCTGCCAGTGTGATAAAATCAAATTAATCTGGAACATTTCATCATTTCATTAACTAACTGAAGTATTGCGTCATAATATAAACTATTTTGATTCTCCAAAGATTTTCTGAGTTAAACAAAGTGGGAAATCGTAATTTTATTTATTTTGAAAAAGTTTAATTATAGTAGTAGCCCTACAGCCGATTTCTATTTGTGATTTACATTCCAGTAGACTGTTCTTTGAAAAAAGATAATTGAAGAACTTCTCGTACTAAAGAAGGTGATTGTATTAGTCCATGTATACAGAAATTAGCATTTACCGATTTTCATAACTTGATATTTTTAGTTAGAAAATAACTTTTTCAAGAAACATAATTATAAGATGATCTGATTTCAAAATGTTTTAAATTATGGTACCGCTAATCTGTTCATAAAACAGCTCGTTTTCTTAAAACTTTATTTACATGTCAGGTACCGATATTCACAATGTTTTAAATCTTTGAAGTATTTCAATTATGCTACTTTTATGTTATCCTGATGAAAGAGGACAATTTATTTCTAAAAATAACTATTCCAGACTGATGTTCCTTATTCGCCAAAACTTATTTTGCCTGAGGAAATACATCTAATTTTTTGGAGGGGGGGATTTCAGACACATTAATGGCGAACGTAATAGTAAAACTAAACTATTTCCAGATGATGTGGTAAGCTGAATTCTATGTTTGAAAGTGACTTAATTCTTTGCGGTAAGAAAAAAAATTCATCGTAAATCTGTGTAGAATTCAGTCAACGTTAAAGTCTAAACAACAAGACAATGTTTTCAGCAGAACAAAAACCAAATGAGATTTTATTCGAATGAAAAATGCCATTATCAATTTATCTGAAGATTATCATCTCAATAAACAAGCGTAATGAAAGTGGTAATTATTTTTACAACTGCATTAGTTAATATAAATAATCGTGATATTATTAGTATAGCGTATTATAAGGTTAGTCACATCATATAATGATTTTAAATTCATTGGTAATCAGAAATTTTTAATCATTATATTCAAGTTATCATAACATATTTAATTATACTTGTTTCTTCTTTTCTTTTCAAAAACAAAATCTATTTTAGGTCCTGACAAATAAATTAACAAATGAAGTATTATTGTGTATTGCATATGTATTGGAAGTTGCACAAGAGGGTTGTAGGGCACAACATCACATATATCGATTGACACGTTATGGCTAATTTCAATGTACTAAACAGTGATAAAACAGAAAATCAGAAACGTGTAAATTACTGGTTCATTTTATTATTCAAATTTTATTTCAGTGAATAAATGGTGAAGAAGAATTTTAGGTATTTAAAATTATGTTGAATTATTGTCGACAGTATTAATAATTTATTTATCAGAAAGTCTTTACTTTGGTATGTATGCATAGTCTTCTCCTAGGGACTTCTTTAACTGTCTATATGTAAACTATGCGAATTCTCTAAAAATATCCTAACATTAGCTATTCCCTTACATATTATGAAATTATTCTTGTCTGTTGTGGGCCTTTTGTGTCGTATATAAACTGAGTTTTTCTATCCATGAGTAATGAGTTTGTTTCACCTACATACCCTCGTGTGCAGTCGTTTTGTACAGACATTGTACTGTCTTTTATTGTCTTCGATCGATCCGGTGACGCTGTGCAAATGAGTTTTACTTTAGATTTAAATGTGTGTATGATTCGGTACATACATAAGTGTGTGAATTAGAAGATCGGGAAAGAATATGCTGTATACATTTTATTGAATGTTACTTTGAATATTTTCTCTAGATCTTATATGAATACTCACTGATCTAGATTTCAGCACGATTTTGTAGGCGATTTCTTCCAGTTATCGATCCAACCTTACTTTGAAACCAATAATCGTGGTTTGTCAAGTGAACGTCAAACATAAACAAAGTTTGTATGGAAAAAATTGCTTTTTAGCTTCTCTCTACATTATTTTACTTGGTGTATAATTCAATATACATAAACACTAGTGTTGTAAACCTTTTATGCCTAGACTAATGTATTTCAAAAAAATAATAATTTATCCGCTAACTTGTGCAACAAGTATAAATATTTTGTGTCTGGATTTCTAATGATAATCTTTTATTTCTTTCTTTTGTTTCACCTTCTACTTATCTGTATTTGTTTTAAAATGTAAAAGAGATTTCCTAATAATTGACGAAAAATATTTAGTCACGTAAAATTGGTGTTTGCAAGGATTGTTAATGACAGCGTTGATAATGGCTATTAATTACACAGTTATTACATTCAATGTTATAAGTAGTTCGAACAAAATGAACACTTTCGATACTTCGGAATAATTATACAATGATTTATGTGGTATGAATAAGTATATGATCTTGTTACAATGAGGAATATTGTGTTTTTATCATATATATATTGTTATGAAGTCAAATCTTATCGGTATTTTCCAGCTACCTTGGTGATTATTTCTTGAATTATTGTTTGACTTTATGCCTGCACACGAAATACAAAGTGATTCACAATGATTATGTATTTTACTCTGATGTGATGACAATTATGATGTCAATAGTGTATTTTTTTCTTGCAAAACAGAATAATTATTACTATTATCCATTTGTGTATTGTCTTTCCTAAAGTTTCAAACGTCTTTTGAAGTAAATAGATCTTTGGTTATCGAATAATAATTGTACACCATGACACATTAACAATAATATTAACATATCAATTATTCCTATCCTTGCTCTTTCTATTATTCGATCAGTATTTGTAAAACGCTGCCAATATAGTTAATAAAACTGTTTCACTCCGCAAAACTCAATAATAATAAACTCTTGTCTTCAATTAATTAAAAGCTACACTATGTATGTATCGGCTGATTTATATGAATACTCTTATTACTCTTTGTATTCCTTATTAATAAAAACAATATTATTACTGTTGAATATTTAGTTACTTGCATGTATATTTTTACTATTATTCCTCTTCATGGTATGCCTGTTTTGTGCTTATTTATATGAAAATGATTAGATGTTTATGTATATTTATGTATGTATAAAAAACGGTGTTTTATTCTAACACAGAAGATAGAGATGGATGCATTTCTTGACTAAATGTATTCCATTCTGCTTTGATATTGTTTTCTTTTTCTGCACTAATCTCTGTGTAAACCCAGTGTTCAGCGTAAACTCTCTTTTATTAGTTGTTCCCTTCTTTTCTTTCCACCCTTTCATTCTAGTATATTTTGAATGTAACAAAAAAAAATTATGAGAAGAAAAATCTAGAATGAGAATGATAAATTTTCTACCAGTTTTTTTTTCATTTTTTAACACAATAATCGATTATATTACGCAAGTGCACACGTATACGCATAAATTTAATGTACATATTAATTATCACTGTTAATATTATGTTTGGCTCTTTTTTTTAGTTTATTTTGCTTTTCTCTCTGACAAACTGACACGATTTCTTCCTTTTTTTATTCAGTTCTCTTCTGTCCTTTTATCTAAAATGTAATGTGTATGTGTGTGTTATAAAGTTCACTGGAAACAAAATCATACAAATACATTAGATATAACAAATAAGATAAAGATAACCTTAATGTTATAAAGTCATCAGGCTGTTAGGTAAAAAAAAAAGAAGAATATTCATCTTTTATTTCCAAATATGTTTCTTTATTTTTCTGTTGTATGCGTATGTGCAAACGTATATTTCATGAAGTACTGAAAGTCAAAATATAACATTTTATCTGAATTGTTTGTTTGTTTTTACAATTTCATTTGAGATCAATTTAGTCCATTGGCTAAAATTTCAAAGGTAGAAAGTGAATCTAGAAAAATAATCCATACAATTATATATTATCATTCCTTTACAAAACATTAACAAAGACACCATGTAAATATATTAAAAATTATTATTTCTGTTAATTGAATCCAAAATATCACAGTAAACAAAGTGAATTACAATTTCATCTAAACTGATTTTTATATTGAAACGAAAAATGTTAGTACATAGGCTTTATTCAATAAAACACTAAATGCAAATTTACTTGGGAAGTGATATGAATTTGAAAACTTCCAAAGTTCTCAGAACCCTCACTGGTTGTTACGTTCTATTTTAAGTTTTTTCAGAGGTTCCCATTCATAACCCCAAAAAAACTGAGTCAAGGACCTCCAAGTGTATTGGTGAATCACAAAGTCCATCATTCTAATTAGAAGTTGTGACGTGTAAAGTTGGCCAAGTCAGGATTAGTTAAGTAACTCAACAACAAGGATGAATGAGGATCCTGATGTACCACTAATTGGCTAAAGTAAAAAAATATGGCACAATAGATTTGAAATAAGTGAGTGAATAGTATCGTTTTGCTGTGAAATATGAGAATCTTTGATTAGATTGTGAATAAGTCATTGGACATTTCTAATTTAGGATCTGTCCAGTATCACATGTCTTGCTAAACATTACCCTAAACACCTCTCACGGTATGGTATAGTTCAGAAAATATTAAACCCTCATAATAATCGTAAAATACTGCGCGATGCATATTCGACTAAGTTTCTCGACTAACGGTATACAGTGATCCTCGTGTTTACATTCTAGATGTATAATTAAAAGACAAACTAGTGAAAATGCAATATGTAAGACTGCAAGTATCCACATAACATATGAGCTGACTAATATTTTTTGGAACTACGGGTTTGTGGACGAAACATCCATCAAATGCATCCTGATTTTAAATGTTCTTCTAACCTAGATTGGTTCGTGATCTCAATAATATTTTTAAAGTTATTTATGTAAAAACTTTTCAAACTACGGATTCCTATAACACTTTCAGTTCCAGTTAAATAAATGGAAGTATGTGGACAATTGACCTAACACTCAGTAGTGATCAGTGTTATGTAGGTAGTCATTCTTATTGGTGACCGAATTCTAATGACCTAGCTACGCAACTGGACGACATGAAATCTAATGCACCAGAGAAGATCAATTCCCTCAAGATTACAAGTACATTTTGCTGGGGAACACCAAGTAGCACGAAACCTCGGTCTATGGTTTCTTGTCGATTACCTCTAACTACCTAACATCCGAACGTAATCGCGGTCTTGTTCATTTTATTTAATGCAAACGAAATAAAATAACAAAAAAGCAATAACAGCTGTTTCTTAAAAGGATATAGTTTAAACCTAGCGGTATATATTTAATTAATGATCAGCACATCCATTTTAAAAGATATTTAAATATACACTCATTTAAATTATGAGTTGTTGTTAACAGTTAAAGATTTTTGTGTAGTTACTATTTCGCTCATATGCATAAGAGATACAAACTAACGGTCTCTTTCATGCATCATCAAATGATATGATGAAACCTAAATTAGTAAAACGATTCAAAAACCCAGAAACGATATCAAGTTCACCTTTTATTAATTCTCTGTAGATGAAATACTTAAAACATCGATCTAAACATAATGTATTAGTGTTAGTAGTCTATCAAGTTTAATTGAACTTTTGTTCCTTATGGATTGTAAAATGACTTGTAATTCGGTAAATTATAGTGCGACAAAGATTGTAAATATTTCTCATAATATTTTGACATTTCTTAAAAATACTGTTATGGATAAAATGCAAACTGGTTAGCTGCTTTCTAGACATAGTATGAAGTGTTAGAAATGATAAATAGTTTTGATGTCATTTTAAAATATTTCCGACAAAAAAATAGATCCAAGTAACATTCAGAAAAAGTCTTTTACTGCATAAATTTTAGGCATAATTGTTAATACATTTTTTCTAAAGAATAGATGTCTCAAAACATAAAATGAACCTGGACAGATAGTCATTTCAATGACTATAGAAGATACTTGACATTGAGGATATGGTGTGAAAAAAAGATGAAAATGTAGGTATGAAGAAATACTACAATTCAAAATAATGAATGGATTCATTCGCGTCATTTTAACTGATTATCAACAACTCCATCCGAACTCCATAACCACTGATCACGGTCATCATGCCGATAACAAACATGTAGTCTGCATCCACCAACATGACTCCAGCCAACCAACATTCAATGACTTCATGCAATGGTGACACATTTTGATTAAACAACTCATTGCTTCCCTCCAACCCATTTCTACACCAGCAAGCAGCACACGTTCAATCAGGTGGTGGTGATAAAATATACGTCACACCTGTCCCAGCCACTTCAGTTAATTAAGGTTCATAACCTCATCAACTGACTGGCCACTTTTGCCACGAATCCTACACCTAACCTAAGCACTACTCATTCACGTGGTCAATCATTCTGAGACATCTGTGACAAGCAACACGTATTCTACACTTTTTGTGTACTTTCGTAAACCGTGTTTCATAGCCATGCAATAATACATAGTGCACCGCTGGGCGCTTTACTCACTATTTGCTTGAAACGCATATACTTCTATGTCATAAGTGGCGTAAGCTGGCGAGCCACAGTCGAGATTGATGATTCCGTATTGAGATTTCATCAAACCCTGACCCATCAAGACGGATGAAACATCTAAGATAAGTGAAATGATCGACGTGCCCAACTCCATCTCTCTGTCCAAATCTTGATTCCAACTAGTCCCTGAACAAACATTTGCATTTAGATGGAGAAGTATGTGCATAAGAAACGTGTTTACCTTGTCTCTCAAGATGATCAGAAGACTCAATATTGTATCGAGGTCTCAAACAAACAGAACTATACCATCCACATATTCCAAGTCGGGGAGTAGATTATCTAATAGGAGATAGACCACTGAATAAATAAGTAAGGAAAGATTGAATTTTAGGAGGAGATTCATAAGGAAATTGAATTGATAAAGGGACAGTGGATAACTTGGACGAACATAGTTTTAAGTTTGAAAAAAACCGATGAAAGTTCTCCACAAGTGCTAACTCGATCGATAGTGTTTGGTTAGAAAGCCCATACCAAGCTGATGTACGCTTTTGATATTCCCTTCACTGAAAAACACCAGCCACTTCCGCTTCTAACTTTTATCCAACTTATTTCAACTGTATTCGACGACTAAGTATTCTTAGCTAAAAACGAAGAAATATATATTGTTTATTTTTTTCTCATGAACAATGAAGGATTGATTAAAATTGTTTAAAAAATACGGTTGATACAGTCATTACTTAACACTAGTATATGGTCTTGTAATGTAAATTTTTTGGGCTGTGAGAATATCGAACAGAAAAGTGTTTTCATACATAAGCATAGATCCGTATTCAAGGAAACAATAATAATAATGGTTCATTCATCTACATTTAGTATTATGTACATCTGCTTACTTCACTTCAATAGAATGAACAATAAAGAAACATAAAGAAATACTCGAAATCGAGTATCCAATCAATAAAAATTACATTCATAGGTATAAATTATCAAATTTTAGGCTAACTGATACTACTGAAATTATCGAGGGTTTTCATTAATAAAGTATTTTCGTTCACTGATTCATTTATCCAACGGGAATTAATCCAGTGTATGCTAATTTTATGCGGATAGAATAAAATGAATAAAGGTGATGAATGAATCGAAATCGGTGCTATTGATGATGATGAAATTCGGTTAATATTTCTCGAACATGACATTTTACTTATACAAATATCATTAATTTGACAAGACAGTATTTTTTTATCATTCAAGTTCACGTTTATCGGATAATCATTCTTCAAGCTAGATTCTGTAGCATTTAAGAGTAAAGAATTATTAGCCAGGTTGAATATGTTTACAATATCCCATAAAATAATTTGATTATTTGAATCCAAACTGAAAAATACTGAAGAACGAGTAGCTGACCAAATAAGTTTACGAATACTAATAAATGAACGATTAACTGAAATCTTCGTTATTGATTCTGAAATTGGTGCTACTGTGTCATCTTTATTATTAGTTAGTTTTATTTTGGATAAATTTGTTATTGGCACTGCTGACGTAACATCCCATTCAAGTATAGGTTGAAAGTAATTTGTTTTATATAAACAAATTTTACCATCTGTATAACCTAGATAATAGAAACAGATTTTACAAATAATAATAATAATTATTATTATTATTAAAATTACATTGCTGAAATTGGTATATAAAAGGAGAAGCATTAACTTATTGTAGTCATTGAATAGGGTCACAGATATCAACAGAAAGATGTAATCCATAGTTAATTATAAAGTGCCCATATATCTTTTTATTTTGCTTTTGTTTTTGTGTCCGTTTTACACTTGAAAATGTGGAAAAGGATATTTTTATTTTGCTAGTATAATTCTATTCGAAGATTCTGTTGATTAATACGTCTTACACACGATAAAAGATATTTTAAGAAAAAAAGAATTATTCAGGTGAGTTATTTGATATACCAATGCAGATGAAACAAGAAAAAAGGAACATTTTTTTTATTTGTTAACCAAGTTGATTATTTATGAAAAAAAAATTATTGTAGTATGAGATTCATTGCGACATTCAGTTGTTCGCTTGAACATCAAGCATGGAGAACAGCTTTTTCTGATGCTATAATCAATTAGATAGTACTCGTTTTAAAAAAATCGCGCTTGTTCTACGATGACTCACTGGATTGTAATATAATCGTAATATAGTTGTTTTAATTTTAAATCGTTTTTACTAGATAATAATTTAAGAAGTCAATATTTAAACCATTGAGCGATGGTTTAGAAATGTCTAGTTTTGTGTAGACAATCGCTGGTTCGTGCCTGAAAGTTAATCTGTGTTTGAAAACTCTTCATACGATTAAGTTGTTAGAAGCTGCCGTTTTTTGACAGCTATTACTGAGAATCATTCACTCGTTAGTTGAACTGATCGCAATTTTGCATCTTATTGAGTTCTATTTAAAGCAGAACAGTACTTAACTGCTATTTCATCTTACTACTGGAATAAGCTGCGCGCACCAGGAAGTAAACCAACTCAAAACATATAGGTTTCTCAGCGAGAGAATAATATTTAGACTACAGAGTTAAAACCGAATATGTCACATTCCAATCTCCAATTCTCGAAATGGTGAGATTTGGACAAAGAACTATGTACTGCATGTGTCTGCCAACTTTATTCAATGCAACTTGATCAAAAAATGAAAACGAGACCATGAAAATGATTTGTTCTTTGTTACATCGAGTTATGCTATCGTCCAATCGTAGCATGTCACGTTGATGTTCAAGAAAGCTCCACCAGGTTCAGATTAGATGGAATCTCTTCTGCTCCTTCAGAGCCTCCTAAGGCTCCGTCGTGCTTCTCAACAGCTTACAAGCATTAGTTTTACATAGTCAAGTTCAATATGAAAGAAATTATGTACCAAACAAATGATCGTGAAAAATATGAATCTCACTTTAACGAGTAAACCGTGCCCAGCAATAAAAGGGATTTTTATTATTTCTTCAATAAGTTATGTGATCATTTATATGGATCGCTAAATATTAGACAATAATGAATAACTGATTGCTTCCCTGGATACGGATCAGAAATAAGTATTCTTTAGACAAAAACTATAAAGTCCATTAAAAAAAGAAATTGATGAGTTAATCTTCAATAAAATCATTTGATAGTATTACGTTGTCAACACACAATAGTACCACTAAAACATTTTATTCATCCTTATTGCTGTCTTCAGAAGATTCGGACTTATCAGATGACCTGACCCATCTATCCCATGCACACCAACAAATGCAGATGAAGACAACTAGTGCGACAGCATCCTCAAATACAACATTAAGAACACCAACCCAAGCACACTTGATACAGAAGATGTGGAGTCTTTCATGTACCTGGGTAGCATCATCGATGAACAAGGAGGATTGGATGCAGATGTAAAGGCAAGGATTGGCAAAGCAAGGACAGCATTCCTACATTTGAAGAACATATGGGACTCAAAACAACTGTCAACTAATATCAAAGTCAGAATCTTCAATACGAACGTCAGGACAGTCCTACTGTACGGAGCTGAAACGTGAAGAACTACTACAACCATCATCAAAAAGGTACAGATATGTATGGACAGTTGTCTACGCATAATACTCAATGTTCGATGACCGAATACCATCAGCAACAGTCTACTGTGGGAGAGAACAAACTAACTTCCAGCTGAGGAGGAAATTAGGAAAAGATGTTGGAAGTGGATAGAACACACATTGAGGAAATAATCAAACTGCATCACGAGGCAAGCACTTACTTGAAATCCTGAGGCGAAACGAAAAAGACGGAGGCCAAAGAACACAGTGCATCGGGAATTGGAAGCAGACATGAAAAGGACGAATGGCAACTGGAAAGGATCGCCCAGGACATAGTTCGTTGGAGAATGCTGGTGAGCGGCCTACGCTTCTTCATGACAGGTAACATGCGCAAGTAAGTACGTAGTTATTGATGTCTTGTTGTGGCGGACACTACTCACAAGAATGTTTGTAATTAGTGTGTAGGGGAACGCGGTGTCGAATTTGCAACAATTGTCTCACAGAGTGAAGAGTTTCAGTATATCAGAAACACGGCATTGACAGAACACTTGAAGGCCAGTCGATAAAGCAGTTCAGATTGAAGAACAAACCAAGAGATGCAAATGGACGATTGAAAGCTATGTATATGTGTTATGTAAAAATTTTGTAACTCCTCACAATAAACACATACATACCTCCACTCTATTTTCTTGTTTTATAAGGTAAAGATAAGTAAATTAACATATGATTCGATACGTAGTAGTCGATCAATTATTAATACGTCATCATTCTACAGTCTGTCAGTTGCTGCTAGAATAGATCAGTGGTAACCTTCAGATTGTGTCATCGGTTGACGTGAAATGGGATCCGTCGGGGGAATCAGTTCCCCCAAGTACATTTTGTTGGAGTCTAAAACTGCACAAAAACTTAGTTAAGGGTCTACTTCTCACTACTTTCAACTACCACTTTCATTTCAACATTGTAGACGTGATGTCGAGTCATTTAGACTAGCTGTCGTATCGCAACTGGATCGACAGGATTGGATTGGCACTTAGAAGTACTTGACATACATGAATGACATGAGCAGTAAATCAAAACATTATTCACTACTTAGTGGTCACTCAATCGTGAATTACAATATCAGCTATTTATTCGTTTAATTCAAAATTGTGGATGTAGTAAAATTAAATTATTATTATTATTATTGAGCACATTTAACATCAAATAAAAACACAGACACGCTAAGGAATATTTTTTCTTTGCTTTTTTCTCATGCCTTCACTTTTTAAAATTAATTTGTCAATCTCATGGTTCATTCATTTTCAAATACGTGATTATTGTATAAACATTAAATACCAATTCTATATTCAGCATAATTATTATAATGAACTGAGTAATCAGTCATAGTTGTCTAGTGACCTTCATATTCATATATGATTCATATGTGCAGGAACATTAAGTCTATGTACTTGATACCTGACAACAATAATATTGGTATTTGCCAGAATGATTTTCTCATCAAACTCTTTAGATAAACAATTGTTTCTTATTACTGAAATTCATTATCCAATTTATTCAAGCAAATGTTCAGTTGACTACAGATGTATATATCTGTGCACTACAGGTATTTGTGAATATAACAGTAAGCATTGTAATGGATTTCGTTCGAAAATCTTTGAAGTACTTTAACTACTTCAGGAAAATGTAGTTTTTACAAAAATCAAACTTGAAATAGACCAAACTATAAATATTACTGAGTTCTCTCATGTATCTCAACCATCATTAAATTCAAAATAAACTACTTAATGAGTTTTAGGAAAGATTAACGATAGTTCATTGTTCACAATTGATTGATCACTGGGTGGTGATCAATGTCATGTATGTCAAGTCCTTATTTGGTGCAGATCGAATGCTATCGACCATGTTGCAATGTGGCCACCAGTCTAGGTGACTCGACACTGCGGGCACTATATATTGAGATTAGATGGTGGTTGGAGGTAGTCGACAGGAAACCCTGGACCCGGGTTTCGTACTACTTGGCACTCATCAGCAAGGTGTACCTGGTGTCCCTTTCGTTTGTTCGTAGATTTTGTTGTCGAATTGAAAATATTTTTTTGAATGTAAAACAATTACTAGTTCTATACAGGGACATTTAATCAGCGAATCATAACCGTAAGCATTTCATTTCAACCTCAAATAACACGCTTGAATATCTACTAAATACAAAGTTCTTACAACTAAAGAAAACATAGGATAGTTTTTCTGTCTGAAGAAATTAGACAATTTTTAAGTTATGCAATTGAATATAGCCATTTGTATGCATAAGTTATACAATAAAATATCCAACCTGCAATAAATATATGTAATTCTGCATTTGGATGCGTTTCTACTGTCTGTACAGCTGAACAACATAATATTCGTGAAAATAGTTTAGGATAAACTGTTTGATTAGGTGTACGTCCGCGATGTATAATTTGACCATTGCTACAACCAATCAAGAAATTTCCATGTTTCGTTATGGCTAAACAAGTGGTTATAACTTTATTACTCAACCGATTTGACAGATTCCAATTATTTTTTTCTGTTTGAAATTTTAGACTATTTTCTGTTAATGAAGGCGGAATCTAATAAGGAAGAATTGAAAGAAAAAGATTTTCCAAGTGTAATTTTAATACATATCTATGAGAGTGTTGAATAGTTAATTATTCCAGACTGAACATTATAGAAATATTTTACATCTTTTGTTTTATTAGATTCAATAGGTTGATATAATTAGAAACAAATAGCTAAAAATAATAATTTGAACTACATACAACACAAGTATGCTTATATAACTATTGCTAATATGTCAGAACGTTTTGATATATTGGGAAAAAGAAAACTATCTCTTTTCGTAAAAGACTGTCAACAAAAGATTGGTTTTAAATAGGCTTATTATATTAATTAGTGTGACTTTCAGATAGTTGTTTTATCATAAGAGTTATTCGTATAAGATCGATTTAAATAAAAACGTATTTGAACCTCCCTTTTTATTACTAAATTATGCATTTACTCACAATTGATAATCTTCTAACATTTAATGTTATATTATGCCTCAGATTATATAATCGGAAAAAAAATACAGGGTCGTTTAACAAACATCATATTTATATCATCCTCTAAAATGACTTTGCTTCTAATCTAGAAAACCGATAAGTGTAGTACAAAGTATTGGCTATGTTTGTAATCGGTTTTAAGAAAACACAAGTTTATATTCTTTACAGTAATTTGATTCTGAACTGGATACTAGTCATTTGTTATTGTTCTTCTTCAGTATCGTTATACAATATGAATTTATGGTTCTGAATACCAGGTTGATCAAAAATACTTCGTTCAACTGGTATTTAATCAGGGTTTAATTTCCAAAACGTTTCATAGAAAGTTTCTTAATTTGAATGTATACACCGGACGTTTATTCTATCTGTTTGGTATATCCTCAAGCAGCAAATGAATTACATGTTACTTCGATACAAAAATGCAAAATAGTTAACAATGTGTGAAGTTTCCTGTGTGCCGCAATCGCCACGAGACCTCAAGATTAAAGGGTCTTTTTCATGATTGATTTCAGGTGAACTCTTCTAAACAGCTCTAAACCAACTAACAGATGCTTCTTGGATTCGATGGTTGCAATAAATCAAATTGGTTCGTTTTTAAATAGATCAAACATATATTACCAAAATGTAAAATGACAGACAGTTTGCAAAACGTGAATGATCGTTGGAAAAGAATAATCATAAATTGCATGTGGGATATTAAGGCATACGTGCTTATTAGTAAAGCAAAACTTGATCTTCGACAAGTAATAATCTTCGTAGTTAAATAGAAATCATTAACTTACATTTATCTGTATTGATTTGTACTCGATGAACAGTAAGCGAATTATACGTAAACGACTGGTGCCGGGAGATAAACAGTAATCTATTTGTGAGCCTGCAAGGCTTTCTATAGTATTTTGCACTCTATACTTTTGATTCATCAATACTAGCCATAAACTAATGTTACCAATTTCGTCTAATGCAAGCACTTGAAATTTATTTATATCTGTAGTTGATTCATCTACTAGTTCACGATACCTATGATGATCACCGACTGCAGTTTTAACAGATATAATTGGACTAAAGTGATTATGTTGTTGAGTCACACAGTTGACCAATGATTGAAGCTTGCATGTATTTGTGGAATCTTTATATTCTACAAGTGATGTTTTATAGGTTGGTAACAAAACAGGCAGGTTTAAAAATTCATTGAGTCCGGTGGAAACAGACTGATGTTGAACGTCATCTAAAATCGATAAACTTGTTGATTTCATAGGTATTTCATTGGAATACTTGTGTTGATCCCAAATAGACAGACCTCCGTCGTGTAGACCAGCAATTACCTCAACGCAGAAATGATAAAATGAATTCTCATTATTTATTAGGATATAATAGTTGTTAAATAAAAAATGAATACTGTGGGTTTGTCGCATAGGTGAATAGAACAGAGAAAAGATATATAAAAATATCAAAGAAATCCATGAAAATCGCTAAATTCATCAGTAATAGTCAGAATCAACAGATTGACACAAATTTCGCCTATATCAAGCTACCATACGACGATAGAACGACAAAATGAAATTAACAGGATGAAAAGCAAATGATCTAGTAGCGGTGATGATGAGAAACACCTGACATTGAGAATATGGTGTGAAAAGAAAGGATGAAAAGGTATGTATGAAGAAATACTACAATTCAAAATAATGAATGGATTCAGTCGCGTCATTTTAACTGATTATCAACAACTTCATCCGAACTCCATAACCACTGATCACGGTCATCATGCCGATAACAAACATGTAGTCTGCATCCACCAACATGACTCCAGCCAACCAACATTCAATGACTTCATGCAATGGTGACACATTTTGATTTGTCAACTCATTGCTTCCCTCCAACCCATTTCTACACCAGCAAGCAGCACACGTTCAATCAGGTGGTGGTGATAAAATATACGTCACACCTGCCCCAGCCACTTCAGTTAATTAAGGTTCATAACCTCATCAACTGACTGGCCACTTTTGCCACGAATCCTACACCTAACCTAAGCACTACTCATTCACGTGGTCAATCATTCTGAGACATCTGTGACAAGCAACACGTATTCTACACTTTTTGTGTACTTTCGTAAACCGTGTTTCATAGCCATGCAATAATACATCGTGCACTATTGGACACAATGTAACAGGTGGTGTTTTATTAGAAAGCCTTCACAAAAGTGGTGGACGTCTTTGATATTCCTCCCATTTGTCAACATTGTCCTTAGGCTTTGCATTCAACGGAACTGAATGTTGTTTTAAGGTCAAGAAGTACTACTAACGGGGAACTTAGATAGTTATGTGTTTAGTCAAAAATCCGAAAAAGGGTGAATATCAAAAACTGATCGATGATGAGATCACGAGTGCTGTTGAGAATATGAAACAGGTTGTCATTTTTGTTTTTAATACAGTGAGAAGATGCTTCTTCTCGAGAACCCTGAAAAAAGATCTGTATTAGAAGTGGTCTTGTCGACTTAGGAGCATCTTTAATGTCAAAGTGACGACAAATTGAGATACATAATCTTTATCCAAATATTTTCAGAAGCGTTGGCTTCTTAATTTTGAGTCCTCAGTGCTGACGACATATATCCGTTTTGTGAAGTGAGGTATGGCATTTCCAATTCCAGATTTTCCTAAACCTATCTTTCCGTTGCGGAAATGCAGAAACGTTATAGATGCTGGTTGTATGACTACCCGAGTGTAATGTGTTATATGACTTTGTTGTCGAACAATGAGTTTTCTGCTTATAGCCTTACAGCTCTCTAACTGACTTAGTTGACAAAGTAGAATGTGAAGGAATAAGCGTCTTAGACAATAAAAAGGGTGGTACTCAGTATTGTTAACCACCTACGTCATTTATCCTAACCTTTGGACAGATAACTGAGTCTAACATTCCCAGTCGTTCTATAATTTACATGTGCTACTTGAGCGTGTGTTTATCGTAGTATGTTTATGTCTGTATACTTGCTTGTATCTTTTATGCTAGTAGATGTTGAGTAACGTTTTGAATACAGTGGGTAACTCTGTTTACTACCTCCGATCGGCTATTCTTTTGTCTTTCTGCCCTTATAAACATCTGAAACGTATGTATCCAAAATCATTCTCGTGTATGACTTTTGATATACCGTTGTTTTAAACTTGTTAAGTCCACAGAAAATACATGGAGTCAAGTAGGATATTTATTCTACCAACTAAATTAACTATTTGGTGTTATCAGAAAAAGAAAATGGGCACAAAAACCTCGATTAAAAAAATCACTTTATACAAACCCAACCACAGTACTACGGTAGCAGCTAGTTTTTGAATAATTAACTGATGAATTAGTTTACGCGTTTATTATTAAGATGGCTAACTGCAAAACATTCTGAACACAGTAAAAATCACCAGATTTTAACACGAAACCCTTTTGCATCAAGCTCAAACATTTTTTGGACTAGTCTGTATGTACTCACAATAAATTATAGCAGTATCACTACTTCATTTATTTAAACAGACGGCTTGTAGGTCATCGTAGAGATCTTGTATTGAAATCGTAGTCCAGGTTCAAAAACAGATTTAAACAAAAAGTGTTATCTTTATTTTAAATATGTGAAGTCAGTCTAGCGATCAACGATAACGTCTTAAAGCCAATGGTAACTTTACAGCACTGTAGATTCATTATCAACTTTAAGATTATAAATGAAAACTTTCTCTAGAAATGATATTGAATTTTACTGATGCATATGCTTGATGTAATCATCAATCATTTAAGTTGAAACAAGATTCCAGTTAAAGTGATAGTAGAATAGGATAGTAAGAAACTTTACTAATCCCATCCATGAGTTTATCGAATATTTATTGAATCAATATAGTATTGGTTTTACGCATTTATCTTGTGAACTAACATGAGATCAGCATTTATATTATAAAGAAACGGTGAATATCAAATAATCACAATGTCTATCAAATAATTTATCATAAAAGTAAGAAAATACTGATTATTTTCTAATTGTTTACTCAACATAAATTATAAGAATAAACTCTTCATTATTCAGTAATAAGTAAACTTCAAATGGATTATTTAGTGTAAACTTCGTAAGTAGACTTAATAGTGAATACAAAAAACAAAAACAAAAAAGAACTGTAAACAGTAAAATGTAATTCATGAATCACAGGCATTCTATTTGTAAATTATACAATATGAATCATCTTATTACTTTCTCTTGTTATTTTCTTTTCTTCTAATTGATGAAACCTTATTTAGATCATTTTTATAACAATTGAAGAAAGTCTATAATATATTTGATAATTAAATCAAATACAACTAAAATATTATGCTCTAATTCAACGAGTGTTGCTGTTGTTGTCGTTGTTGTTGTTGTTGTGTTTTATTCTCTTCTAATTATTAGAAACATTTGTTTCCAAATATAGACAGACGGATAAATTGAATAAGGTCATTCTATAATTGAAAATGTAAACTGAAATTGTACTGTCTACATGATGAATGTATGCTGTGTTATTTATTTATTTATTTCTTCTTCTTTTACAAATTAATTTTTTTCTTTTTATATTCACAGAATTTTTAAAGAAAAACACCGTTGAGAAATATCAATAAAAGAAGAGGAGGAAATCACTTGGCAATACTGTAACTGCATTTAAATATAAATCAATCATGAAAAGTTATTCTCAACGGCTACATTTAAAATATAATCTGTTTACATGAATTTTCAAAGTTTATATTTATATTGTGTAAAAGAAATTAATGACAATAGTTGGAAAATCTTAGAGAATCATGATATTTTTAAGCTCTGACTCAAAATACTCTAATACGGTCAAGGTCTGAGAAAGTTCATACTCCGATCGAAATACTTTCACATGGCTATAAGTCTATATTCTCTGTCAGGAAAGTTCCGATTACTGCCTTTATAAGACTTGAGTGTTGTTTTCGAAATCGAAAGGACTAAAAACGAACACTTTCAGCTTAGAGCAGTTAGATGGATACGGATGACGTATCAAGGGGGGTAGGGAAACTCTTATTCAAAACCAATGGTTTACATTTGCGTCACAATTCCCAAGCAATGAATGGTATTCGGATCTATTTTCAGTCATTGGTTATTAATGAAACTTCGTTTCTTGACGTTTGTGCATTAGGCCACTAGGTAAAAGAATAAAAGAGTGGCCTCGTGATGAAGCTACCTATTCAGCTAGCACACGAGTCTTTGTGTGTGGTATACTATTCCCGCTGAGCAGATGGGCTCTATTTTCTCTAAAGTATTTATAAATTCGGCCCTAGGCATCTCAGAAGTGTGTAGTTGCAATCACAGGACTTCCAGGTGTGATAAAAAGCAGTATTCTCTTTTGAAACCAAGCATTACATTGTCTCTATAAACTGACGTTCACTATTGAAGGGTCTTTAACTAGGAAACATCAATTGTTCAGTGTTTCTCGGTTTGTAAATGTTTTGCATCTCCTATCTATTTTTAAAGAAAACTAGCCTCAAATAAATCAATCTAAATAAATGCGTTTAAGCAATATTTCAGATAAAGTTACTACGGGTGACATTTCTCTAAGTATATTCTACTTCACAAATAATTGAGAAGTCTTGTAAGTTAGCGAATATTTTTAGCTAATATCTGATTATAGTATTCGTGATAACCGAACTTGAGAACATGAACTAGTGTGTTTATAGTATTTTTCCAAAACTGCATATCATTTTGAAATTCGAAGCATTTTTATATTTCAATTTACAATAAATCATTGCAAATAACCAAGACATATTTATCTATAATTGAGATTGTATTTTGAACGAAAAAGATAAATCAGTTTATCTGAGGAGATTTCGAATAAACACATTATGCATTTAACGAGTTAATATACTTAGAAAAATTATAGTATCACTCAATTTCGTCTTCATTTATTAAGAAAGGTGTTTCAGTATAACACTCGTTCATTTCTAAATTGATAAAAAATCTCAGCATCTACTCAAAGATGGTGAATTAACGAATATTTACAAAAATATCATTCAATGTTTATTTTCTATAGACTCTATCCTATTTAGTTCAAATAGACTAGTCAAATTCTGTTGTAGTTCACCATAGATTTCAAACAAAATATAGATGAAATAATCTTTTTATTTCGATATCTAAAAGATTACACCAATAAACTAACATTAATGAAAAACTAAACAATTACTAAAGTAAGCTGTAACAGTAATTACAGCGCCTTTCGATTATATAGATATATATAATTGCAGGAAGACAGCTGATAGAATTTTGCCCATAGCATACATATAGGTAATTTCTTAAAAAAGGTTTTGTTCTCTATAT